GGGGGGAGTGTCTGAGATTCCTCACTCCTGCCCCTGCCAGCCCAGGCCTAGGACAAGCTGCAAGGCTGGCTGAGAGGAGGGGACAGAGAGTTCTCTTCTTGCCGGAGCGAGGCCACACCTGGTGGGGCAGGGCCTGAGCCTCCACAGTAGTGGCTGCCCCACTTGCGCTTGCCCCCTGGGCTTCCTCCCAGCCTGGACCCGCCCAGGCCCGGCTCCACCCTGATGCCCTGTGGCCCTGTTCCCTCGCTCCTCTCTCCTTGGAAGACATGAGGTGAGCCTGTCCGGGTTCAGAAGCCAGTACAATGATGCCAGGCCAGCAGGGCCCAGGTGCCCATCTCAGCAGGAGGTGCCCCTCCCCAGCTCCCAGCCAGACTTTCTCCCCGAGCCTGGGTGCCTCCCACTCACTCTGCCCACACTCGGTGTCCAAAGCCTTCTCCCCAAACCTCCCAATCAGCTAGTCCTCCCTCCAGTGTCCTCTAGGGAGAGGTTGGGAAGTCGAGAAAGGGCTGCATGTGGGCCTTGCAAAGGTCACATTTACTCCGCTAACCGCTTCTGTCCAGGCGAGAAGAAACGCAGGCGCCTACAGCAAGAAAGAGGGAAGCTCAAGGAGAGAGGCCTTCCTGGTGGCCAGAGGAGGTGGGAAACACACTCGGTGTCTTGGCAAGGTGGCGGCTCCCTGCCCCTGCGAAGGCCCCTCTCAGCCCCCTGGCCCTGGGCAGGCCGGGACTCACCCCTGGAAGCGTCTTCTGTTCGTGCAGGGCGCTCTGGGCCTTCAGGGCTGAATCGCGGGCACAGTATGTCAGGAAGGCACATCCTAAGGAGGGGCAGGGGCAGAGAGACCAGTGTGGGTGAGTCCCGGGTCTCCCCTCCCTTAAAGGCCCCGTCAGGAGCATGAGGTCCGGGAAGCTGGTTCCTTCTTGCCACTTCCTGCCTGCTGGGGCGGGGGAGACATTCTGCCCAGGGCATCTCTGGGCTGATGAGCCTGGAACTGAGACCCAGAGGCCAGGGGGCTTAAGTGGGGGAGGTGATGGGAGCAGGAGAGCACGGGGGCTGCTGGGAGGTGGGGCTTTCTGGGGGCGGGGAGGGGAGAAGGGGCATGTGACTGCCAGACAAGTGCGTGTAGCGTGGTTCCCTCGCTTCCTCAGCTGATCTCCTTCCCTCTTTCTCCTTCGCCTCCACCTCCCTCCATCTTGGTCACCATCACCCCTCTCCTCTCCCATTTTCCCCGTTTCCTCATCTCTCTCCCTCTCTCTGGGAGGCAGATGGGAAGTGGAGAGTGGGCTAGAGGAGAAGGGGAAGTCAGAGTATCAGCGCGAGTCCCTGTGGAGGGGCAGGCAGTGTGGCCTTAGGACCCCAGCGGCTGGAGCCCTCCAAGTGCTGCCCCTCGGACCCTGCTCAGCCACACAGGCCTGAGGCGCACCCTCCCGTCGCCCCCAGCTCTTAACTTTCCAGCCCCACACACTTCCCAGATCAGCACCAACCTCTGTCCTTCATACCCTGCTCCCCAGGCCCCGCTCCTTAGTCCTGGAACTGCCCTGCCTGGTCCACGGCTACTCTTTCCAGGTTGAGCTCCCGACCCTGTGTCCTGACCTCCATCCCAGCAGTAGTTTGGCTACTAAGACTCAGTACACACCCTCAGCACACACACGCACGCACACACACTGCCCAGCTCCTTACCTCCCAAACCAGCTCTCATCCCTCCATCGTTCCGCGCGTTCATCCACGACATCCCCTCCTCGTCCCTGGGATCCACATCTCTGCAGCCCCCTTGACGACTCTTTCTCTAAGGAGGCCCTCCCTCGTCCTCGTCTGTCCGGGCCCCCTGGCCACCCTCGCTGAGTCCTCTTCTAACTCCTTCATCACACGCCCTAGCCCAGAAACTCTTCTCGTTCCAGATCGGCCCTCTCCAGCCACTCCATCCCTTGGCCCCCTTCCACCCTCCTCCCAGCCGCCCAGCCCACTCCCTGAAGCCGCTCTGGCCTGGCCGACCCCTCACCCTTGTGCAGCCCCGTGTACTTGTCCTTGATGACAGTCAGCTCGAAGATCCGACCAAACTGCTCGAAGATGGGCTTCAGGTCCTTTTCCTCCAGATGCCGCGGGATCTGCCCCACAAACAGCTTGATGGCATCCGGCTCCTTCATTGGGGCGGCCCGGGAGGAGGGGCCGAGGGAGCAGGGAGAGGCCTGGAGGCCAGGGGAGCTGCCCAGCGGGAAGGCAAGCGGAGGGGGCCGGGGGGCAAGTGGTGGGCGCTGGCTTCCCCTCGGGCCCCTAACCAAGGTGCTGATCGGAGGGGCAGCTGTCACACAAAGGAGGCTGGGGAGTTGAGGGCTAGGGGTCAAGGGTCTAGGCAGGCACTGTCCTGCCACCAGGGGGCATAACCCAAACAAACGGTCTCCTCCCAGAGATTTGGCAAAAATCCCAGGATGGGGGTCAGGATGGCCAAGACCTGGAGGGTAGGGTGGTCCCAGGGGCCCTGGGCACCGGGGGCTGAGATGAGAGCTGGAGGTGGGGAACGGCCGGGGAGGGGAAGGGGATGG